AAAACTTGTTGGACTGATTTAACATGATGTCCTGAGACGTTGCAGCTGAAAGGAGTCATAAAACAGAACAGGGGGACGTTAGATGWCCTGACRCCCCTCTAGATAAATGTGTTAAATGAGTGAAGGAAAATATGAGTGAGCACCATGCAACAACCCTAGATTCTCCCCTGAGRACCAGACCAAACATTTTATCTGCAACCCTGGTCATAGGCAGCCCTTGTAATATTCTTTTACCCTACTATTAATGTTCAGTAAAATATATGAGCAGTAGTTGAGTCTGAATCAATAGAGCATCCCAACACTACTCTTCATGTATTATTCAGGATCATATTCATTTATTTAAATTATTCATGCCGTTAAATCAATACAGCTCAGCTCATGTTCAGATGCTTCTCTAACAAACTCCCACTGCAAACTTGAAGCTCAAGTCTTATGGCGCCAAAATAGATATAAAACAAATAAAACTCTGTTGTGATGTTAAAATAACTGAAATCTTATTGTTTTTCAAAGAACAGAGTTGCAGTACTCACAGGGGGGATGTGAGGCTCGTTGGTGGCATACAGGTAGCCAGCCAACAACACCTGCAGCTGCAGTGGGTTCAACCTGAAGCAGGCGCTCCGGATGTCCTTGGCATCCTGCGTTGAGTACTTGTTCATGGTCAGGAGGGAGGTTGCCTGGAAACAGCCAGGCAGRATTATTTTAACATCAAAAAGAGTCATGTTGTTGTACGCTGAAGAGCAAGCTGAGATTTCAGAGCTGCATTATCAAACGGAGAGAAGAGCAGTTATTCATTCAGTCTGAACACATTACTGGTTCCAGTCTCGTTTTTAATAAAACTATAATATGAGCCTGTTGTTGTCACTGTTTTCAGAAAGAGAAACCTTGTAAGACCTAATTTTGTAATAACAGCACATTATGTAACAATGTAATAAAATCAGGCTTCAAAATGTAATAAACTCTAAAACCACATTATGTAATAATTGACACAAAATGTAACTAGAGAATTTTCATTTCCAGAGAAAATGCCAGTGTGAATGCCTCTTGTTGATAACTTTAGCTGAAGAAGAGCTGAGAAACAAACTGATGATGTCACTGATGTGACTGATCATCACCAAAATATTAAAATTGAAATTGCTAAAAAAAACTATAAAAATTTAAGATGCCAAAAATCATGGCTGGAATGTCCTGAAGGAGCTGAACATTTTGTTATATGAACAGTTTCAGTAGCATAAAAACTGTGGAGGGAGGAGCGGTCCAAAAAGCGTACCCAGTCAAAGTCAATGGGAAAAGAAATTGCTTGAAAATTGAAATAGCTAAAAAAGTATAAATAGTTAAGTTAACAAAAATCATAGCTGGGACGTCCTGAATGAGCTGAACATTTTGATATATGAACAGTTTAAGTAGCACAAAAACTGTGGAAGGAGAAGCAGTCCAAAAAACGTACAGAAGAAACTTGAATAATAAAGAATAAAGAGAAACATGAAAACAAAAGTATGAATGTTGGAGGTGTTTATTTATCAAAGTTATAAAGATTTAATTATGTAGTATTTGCAACATGACAGATATTACAAGTATATTGATTAGGATGAACAGAAATACTGATTTTTGATTGTTTATTACATAATGCACCAGATTATTACACCACCACATTTTGTAATAATGGCTGCAAAATGTAATAACGTTATTACCAGTAGCGTGCACAGACATTTTCGGGGGCAGGTGCTCAAATGTAAAAAGAGGGCACCTTGTCCGGTGCACAAAATCAGTGGGTCCTATTAATGTGACATTACAGACACATCTTGTACATTGTGCATATTTATCTATTTTAAATCAGATTTTTTCTGTCTGACACAGATGTTTAATATTCAACTCTACTGGTTGGTTTCTGTAACAAACTGGCAACAACAGAACAAAAACTAGTAATGACAATGTTTGTAGTGTTTATAAAATAACTATAATCAAAATGACTAATGTCTTTTTTGTTCTGTGGAGGATCTTCCTTCAGTCTCTCCATCATAGAGCTGTTTCCATCATCTGAATTAAACATTTCAGCTTCATCTGTGTCTGACGGAGGAAGGCAGGAAAACATAGAGCTGCTTCTCTGCTGTCGCTAAAACACCAACAATATAAAATATGTTTATTTGGGTGAAACGGCTTGGTGACAAAGGTCAGTGCAATAAATTACAACATTTAAACTAATCAGACTCTAAATTACTGTTAAAATGTAACACTGTAACACAGGGGGTCGAATTCACAAGGGGGCCAAAGGTCCACACTTAGTCCAGATCAAGAGACAATTTCTGTTAATATTTATTGAAACAAAAGCAAATTATTCTTATTATACTAATTTTATTTTCCAGATGATGGTTTATGTTCAGTGCAATAAATTACAACATTTAAACTAATCAGACTCTAAATTACTGTTAAAATGTAACACTGTAACACAGGGGGTCGAATTCACAAGAGGGCCAAAGGTCCACACTTAGTCCAGATCAAGAGACAATTTCTGTTAATATTTATTGAAACAAAAACAAATTATTCGTATTATACTAGTTTTATTTTCCAGATTATGGTTTATGTTGCATTTAGAGCACACAAAACCTGACAAAGAGATTAAATTTAAAAAGAACCCATTGTTCTCATTCATTATTC